AGCCTTTGTGGACGATCTTTGCAAACAGATCACCAAATGGCGTGATGAAGGATGTGAGGTGGTTTTGGGTATAGATGCAAACGAGGATGTCACTGTTAACGCACCCCAGTCTATCCGCCACCGCTTCCAGGCCTGCGGTCTTGAGGAGGCGATCCTAAAACACCATCCACCGCAAGCGACCCACCAGCGCAACCAACGGAACATTCCGATTGATGGTATCCTCACCACTTCGGGCGTACCAATCCTTGCGGGTGGGTACTACGCCTTTGACAAATTCTTCAATTGCAATCATCGCGGATTGTGGATTGACATTGATCTTTCCGCTTCCAACCTCAGAAATCCAACTTCAAGCCACGGAAGTTGTCCCTCCAAGACTCTCGATCTGTACGCAAATATCTTCAATTGGTTCACAAAGGTTATGCCAAGTACTCCATCCCGGAGAGATTGAATAAGCTGAATACGCGTATTGACCACCTGGGACACCAGATGACCCCTTCCTTGGTGCGCAAATACAACTGTTTACACAGACAAATGTATACTGCAAGGCGCCAGGCGGAAGAGAAGTGCCGGGCCTTAGCTCCAGGTAAAGTTCCCTGGTCACCAAAAATGCAGGGATTCTGGGATTGTATGAGCCTGTGGAAGCTTCTGTTGAAAGGCAAGAAGGGTTGCCGTGTGAGTTCGCGCAAAGTTCGCCGGTTGATGAAGAAGACAGAGTTGCCACAAGCTTGGAGGAAGTCAGAGGGTGATCTGGAGGACTGCCTGAAGCAAGAACGCTCCTTGTACAAGCAGGCCAAACACACTTACGCAGCTCGATGGAGGAAAGACTTTTTGACAGTCCAAACCAAGGACGCAAAGAAGCATCAGTGGAAGTCTCGGAAGGCCCATGATAGATTCTTTCGGTTACGACGAATGAAGCAAAGAGAGGAGGCGAGACGCCGTCGTCGCGCCCGGAGCAAAGGATCTACAGGGGGCCTTCAGGCTATTCAAATTGAAGAACACTTACCGGATGGTATTACAAGTCTCCGGACCATCACTGACCGCCGCCTTGTAGAAGATGGGTGCATGCAAGAAAACGCGGCACGCTATGATCAAACACAAGCGCCGTATACCACTCCACCTATGGCCAAACCGTTATATAGCGAATTTACCGGTGACAACGCTGAAATAAATTCTCTGGCATTGTTAGAAGGCCGTTACACATTACCTGATCTGTTGGACCCAGCTACGGCTTCTTTCTTATCTCACTGCCGGTTTCACAAAGGGCACTCTCCAGTCCACTTGCAAGTCTCCAAGGACGATCAC